TATCAAAAGCCAATTCCTGTAGTTATACACAGGAACCTTCTCATCATTACATTTTTGGTCTACAAGGTCATTCCTATGGACCTACAGACATGTTACAATACACTTACAGTCCCTGACTTACCATGGGGTTTTGTTCCTATGACTCCGTTATAAGTCAGTTCTGACATAAGTCAAATACCTCTTTTTCATTAAAGTTTTAAATTGCCTTTTATTATCAGTACCTTTATAAATCTGATCTTGAACAGTAAACCATAATTGAACATCTGCGAGTGAATATCTCAGAATAATAACATCATCAAGTTATCCACTGCAACACTGTACACAGTACTTATTATTAATGATAAGATGCACGAAAGAAAACAACAAAACAGATGGTCCTTTAAGTATGGTTCGTTGTAACTCGAATATGTCCTAAATCTGGGACTACCTATACATCTTATGTTTGAAAAGCATCCCTGCTACATAACTTGGCTCGATCTTACAGCAAAACTTTTTTTGAAAATAGCTGTCTAGGTAGCTGTCTCTTCCTCATCTCGTCAACAAAGACCTCCACATTGAAAACACACTGATCCCTTTTCTGTCATTTTACTCAATCTCTCAGGAGTACCAGACGTAGTTCACTATTTCCTCTATTGTTTTCTTCCTGCCATTAATCTCATATCGTAAAATCTGGCTTCCAAATACCTTATTTTTAGTTATAAAATTTTCTGTTTTTTATAATTTCTATTTGTTTGCTGGGACTTCCTATCTTTTATAAATATGATAATATTTTCATTTACCTCACATAGGTGTAATGTCTGTTTTAAAATTCTTGTTTGATAATTCCAACATCTGGGTCATGTCAGGTTTAACATCTGTTTATTTTCTTTTCCTGTGAGACTGGACCACATTTTTGTGCCTTTTCATGTCTTGAGGAATTTTGGCTTTTATCTTGGACATTATGAAAATCATGTGTAGACTCTGGATTCTGTTACAGTGCTCTGAAGAGTGTTGATATTTTGTTTCAGCAAGCAATTAGCCTGCTTAGACTGAATTACAGGCTGTCACACCTGTGGCTCAGATCTCAGTTCAGTTCCTAATCCAGTGGTGAACTGCTTTCTATTTTGTTCCTTCAC